GTCGCACTACCTGTCTGAAGTGGGTATACTGCTTAGATTTTTGTAGAAATGTTTGTTATGAGAGGGGTGCTTATGATCCGATCTGTATCAGAGTCTGAACCTTAAAGGTTTCAAGTATGAATTGGGAATGGGGCGCTAATAAAGGCTTGCCAATACTACTTGGCGACAAAACTCGCCCAAGACGGCACGGTGTTGTGCACTCGAAAGGAAGGGATTACCAAAGATGGGGAAGTTTAAGAAACGTGGAATAAAGTAACCAAACTGTGGTGCGGTAGAGCGCGTTTTAGCATGTTCGGTCGAGAGTAGCATTGTCGGAGAGTAAATGGTGAGTCACTGAAACATTGACCCATAAGTTGTGCGGGCATTAAACTTCTCGGTGGTACAGGTCGAGAAAGAGGGTTGACTTAGGGGATCCCACCTCCAGCCTTTAGTCTTAAAGGCCTGATCCGCAATTTAGCGAGGCGATTGACGTAAATCGTAAACAATCGAGGGCCGACCACCACGGTGAGAAGAATACAGCTTTCGAGTAGGAAAAAATTACTCGGGACTCCCAAAAAGCCCGAGTGATACAGCACGGAGGGCAGGAGAAATTCCCTGAACCATCAAACTCGCCGGTGAGCACAAAGACCGCTAACAGCCAGGTGGCTCATATGCCTCCGTAGAATCGGGTGGCCATGGAGGGCATTTATCCGCCGACTGTTGGATACTCTGGTCGCAGGAGTGGTCACTGGCCGTATAGACGGTCACATTGTCATTGACACAGTGTCTTATGAGATCTAGTGATATCTAATGAAAAGCCAGGTGAACAGCCCAAAACCCCCACGCTCTAGGACGTTGCCGCGGATTGTCCGTGACTGCTCATTCATCTCCTCTGTGAACAACTGAGATTTATTCACAATTAGCTTCGGAAGGAAGGTATTCCCCGATTCGCAACCAGGGGAAGCACTTGGTGGCCTACAGCTGGGATAAACAAACCAGTAGTTAGTTGACTTCCGGGGGAGGCAGGACAGTGAAAACCACTAACGTATTTGACCGATACCACCTTATCCCCGCTCGATAATCAGGTGTTTATAGTCGTGTTGTTGACTAAGTGCAGATAACTTGACCACGAGTGTGCTTGGAATGATTAGGTGCAAAACTACATTAACCCTCTCCTTTTCTGACTGGTGCTTACTGCTTGGGTCATGAAAGTAGTGTGGTAATGAAGCACAAGGTAAAAGTACTGATAAACTGATATTGTTGATCATGATGACGAAGCAAGGTAACAATTTAGCCAAAACTCTGGCATGTGTGAAGATGGTGTCCGCTTTGAGCACCGCATGAATGGCAGGTTGCCGAGTGAATACCTGTCGTTTCCGGATGAGTGTAGCTGAATGCCTGACACCACCACTCCTGAGATGCCAATTGCAGAGATTGTACATTAACTGTAATGCATAATGCTGGTCCTCGATTCGACGGCGGCCAAGCTAAACCCACCAACAAGATAGGTAAGAATGTAAAAACATTTCTGCAGTAACCAGGAGTATATTTAACTTTTTGCTGGCAGATCCGGATTTGTGATGAAATTGCCCGCCCTCTCGGAAGCCTGTTGTCGATATAATTAATATATAGTAATAATAATATATAATATATAAACAGAGGCTGTGGACAGGTGTATCAAAGCCGAGTGCGGATTTCGGTAAGTTGGAACACCGGAGGTGGTATAATAATCATGTGACTGTTGTAAGTTAGTGGTTTCGTCAAATTTTTACCACATTGGTGAAAAATGGAAATCGCACAAGAGTCTCAGTTAGCTAGAAAGAAGTCCCTCAAACAATGCATGTGGTGGATTTTCTGCGTGTGTAAGCATAAATGCATACAGAGGAAGTAGCTGAAGAGACTATTACAGTAGCATATGATGGCGGTTGATCACGGAATGTCCTTTGCAACAGTGCCCACAAGGACTGCGTTAGAGAAGGTGAATAAGCGAAGGAAATAATCTGAATATGTACGTAAAGTGACGCGATTTTCTTGCATGACAAATCGAAGACAAGGCATGCGTCATTTAAGGAAGAAAGACCATTAGATCGGTAAGTCTCTCCTCTAAATTAACCGGTATTTCAGCAAAATACTGCATTTGTCGTCTACCGTAGATGATCAATAGTTAATCGAACAACACTGGAGACACCAAGGGCTTCTAGGACGTAGCAGGAGTGAAAAAAGACTTGGAGGAAAATATCAAGTGGGAAAGTAGTGGTCGAGCTCCATAAATGAAAGCATCTGGTGAATCTAATATTCACAGAAAACGACGACATTTGGGGGTTTTCGCTAATAAAGCAGTTGACTCGACAGCATAAAGAATTGCCAAAGGTAAAGAACCTAAGATACCGGCGGCCACTCCATCGTCATCAGCTCAATGTCAGAGTGGGCCCAGGCAGTGTGATAGTAAATGAAAGCTGCCAAGTTGAGACAGTCATGTTCGCCACGCGGCAACAGGTGTAGTCGAGGTGGTGTTAGAGGATTTGTGAAGAGGGACGGATGAGTCTCGCTAAACGAAAGCATGAAAATGGCTACAGCGAAAATCTACTGCATGTAGGAGGCGCTTGTAGTTGTTCATGTTACCAAATCAAACTGTCACAGAACAACCTAGAGGCAGCATATGACACGCATAATCGCGTGTGCGTGCGTGTGTGATGAACAGGTTGCAGCCGCGATCTTTCGATCGCCGGCAGAACACACGATTTCTTCGGCGTAGTTGACAGCGCAGTATGGGAAATGGATCCAGATAATATTTAAAAACAGGGGGTGGCGGTAAAAATCGATCTGTTATTTGGGTAGACCATTCGACGAGGACCTGTATAGGAAATGTGGAGGGCTCATAGAAGAATAAAGGAATGACTCAACAGCAAATAAGAACGGGACAGAGCAGTTGGAATGGGGTCACAAATAGCAGGCAGGTTCGTTCATGCTATCCATAAGGTTTGTTAATACGAGATTTATGAAGTCTAGTATACAATAACAAGTTATCTCCTCGATACGGTCATTATTCGCGATGGTAAAGGGCACGTAGTTCCACGTCAGAGTGAACAAGCGATGGGCCGACAGCTACTGGAACGTAGCAATGAGTGACCTCGGGAACCAGCGTCGTCGACGCGATTGGTATTGCGTACTAAAAAGATAGACTGACTGCCGCAGTCACGGCAATACCATTCGTGTCAATGTTCCACCTGTTAGTCCTTATCATGTTAACAGCGGCCATAAACCAAATGCAACCAACCAGTCCTGCGCGATTCAACCGAAGCGCTGTAAGACAAGTACATCATCCATGTAACCTAAGGAGTGATTGAAAAGACACTTAAGGTGAGATTACGCGCCGAATGCGAAAGGCACAGTGGATGATTAATGGCATCTCTTTTCCTGAAAGGTATAAATGTTGGGGTTAGTTCGAGACGTCAACTAAAAACTCGCTCACTCTGCTCCTTGTGTCGTGAAAGAAATCATTATACACGTTAGCTAGATGTGGAAAGCCCCTCAGCTATTGTGTCGCAGTGGTTTAACACCATAAAAAGGAAATATCCCATTGTGTACAAAAGAGAGGATAGAGGGAACAGGAGTCTTAAGTGACCATGATTATTTATCGTACGTATAAATGTCTAGTGAGCCATGAGCGAGGCCACTCGGGACCACTACAGAAGCGATGACGGGTCCTGCAGAGAAGTAATCAGAACCGGCGCAGCGTTTGTAGGTACGTTGCATTCGATTTACTAACCGCGTGCTTCCATGCTAAGTCGCTTTATTTCAGGTGGTGGGTTTTCAATTTTGCCTTAATGCTTTTCTTTCTCATATAAATGTCTACCTGTACTCTATTGCATTAACTTGCACACCTCGCTTAAGCCAATTGTATTCGATTTCCATAACATTTTTGTGTCCGTGGCATTTCCTAAAATGTACTTTCTGACCTCGTGAACTTATCTCGGATTCGTTTGTAAGCAACTTATTTCATATACTCATTAACGTAAGGTTTATGTCACCGTTTCCTTATGCATTACACGATTTACTTTCTTGGGTATATTTCTCTCAAGTGATTGCCTGTTGCTTGATATCCCCGGTGTGGCTGCGCTTGATGTGCATGTTGACAAGGTGTCTACCTGTCTATTACCCACTACATCGTCCATACTGGCTCCAGGAGACAGTTGGTCGTTGCTGGAGGGGACGGGGTGCACAGTCCTTGTGGCCATTTTAGGCTCGAAGAGTGGTTCCATGCACTCAGTGTAAAGCAGACTACGGTCCAGCCACCGCCTTGTGTGTGCTTGATTCCCCAAATACAGTGTGCTTGTGTTTGCCTGTGAAGGAGTGTGGGCCGGCTCCGTTGATGAAACGTGGTTCCCATCCGCATGCCTCCCGGTCTTATTCCTTCGGGTTTACACTGCATATGGGGGGTGTGGTTGGAGCTGTGGGTGGTGCAGCGCAAGCCATCCATGGTCCCTATGTAGGCGCGGGCGTCCTGTGGCTTGCCACAGTGACAGGCAAATCCGAAACCGGATGCCGTCAACCATAGTCGACAGCGACCCGCTGGAGATTATGTCAGTGCGCCTGGTGCAGGTTGCCGAGATGACCACAACGTAGGTCTCAACATACGGTGTGTAACGTGGGTGTCGCTGTCCCTAATTTGTCTTGCAGTTCCTGTCCTGTTTGTACACTGACAACTCGTCTTCAGTACTGTACATTTTTGCTCATGTCTGTATAATGACTGTTCGCAACACACAAATGCACTCAATGGACGGATCGGTTTACCTGATTCCCGCTCAGCCTTATAAACCATGCATGATTGCTTCGCTCAATGGTGGCATGGTGCTGATTGTTTTCCAGTTGCTTGTTGTCGCAGTTTGGCTCCGCTTGGCGCCACTGCTGTGTAAATTTATGGCTCTTTGTAAATACCACCGTAATTAGTCACTGATTCCGACTACTGAATCGACCAAAGGGGATAGGTGATGCTCAAATCCGAGACATAATCCGTCATTGGCACAGTGGGCTACTTAGATTTTATAGGGTAAAGCGCAAGGTGTCAAGAAACATGTACAACATTGCACTGCGTGATCATGGGATAAGGTACAGAACCCGCTGGAAAGCCGTCGTGAACTGAGCGGGTCTGGTATTGCGACAGCATCGATGGTAGCTCAGTTCACTCGTTATATGCTGAATAAATTGATTCGATTAGATACAGATCAGCATCTCGGTGACTGAATTCAAAATGGTGACAAGCCATATGTACGTGCGTGAACGACACTCAAGAAAAGCGCACCATGGATGGGATTCAGAGGCCCTTCTGAAAAGATGGAGTACCAGATTCAATTAAGAGTGCGTATCGCAGGCTTTAGTAGTGGTGCTGAGTGAGAACAGTGTGTATCGAGAGGTCAAACATGATGCGAACAATAATATTATGGTACATGGATCAAAAGTTAAAAAAATGAACTTAGCGACTGGGTGGGGAAAAGTGCAAGTTAAAGACAGCATGTAGGGGCTCCGAGTGGAGCATGCAGTTGAGAGACGCTGTGAATATACCTGAAAGGTGATTGGAGGAAAAGATAAAACCGATCAGTAGGACATATCCTGCAGATCGAAATCGCGCGGCAGTAGGGATAACGGCTAGAGTAAATAAGGTCGCAACGCTCTCACAAACAAACGTGAAAGGTTAGAGGGAACTCGCAAATAGTTGGATTTACAAAGGATATTGACATCACCTAAAAACGATGTTGTGTAAAACATCACAGTAGAATAGTTGATGCAAGGTGGAAAAACGTTTGAATGAGATACATAGTAAAATGTAGCCCGGGCGGAAAGACACGTTTTGTATGTGAAACAAGTGTCGAAACAAAAATGGTTAATGAAATAATTCGACTTGAATATACACAAATTAACAAGGCGGATTCGAGGCAGAGATGCGACATGAAGGGCCGTTATTGCTCCAGAAACAAGGCCGACGGGTAATGTCGACTGAAAGACCTTGTGTGTGTCTGAAGGCTGGCTCGCCTGTACTTGATGAAAGCAATTTGGAGTGACTAGCCAAGCTATTAGGGGGCGAGAACTGCGGAAGAAAGAGAACGAACAAAGGGTGTTCAGCTCGAGAGTGAGGAAAAAACGAGGAACAAAACGAAAAGTAAAGGCCGGGTAGCGCAAGTCCGTGCGAAGCCAGTTCCTCGGAAGTAGGCGCAATGTCCCGCGAGGGAGTGCGGCAACGATCTGTGAAAGAGTCAATTGTGATTTCCAAAACCAAAGAGAAGTGAGGAACCGGTGCACCGTGTCACACCGGAAATGCTAGCGGAATTCGTGGAGCTAGGGGCCCTGGAAATGGCAGCAGATGCAGTTGAACCGGATAAAGTGGCGGAGAGAAAAGCATGAAAATCTATGGTTGTATGGTTGGTCTTCAGAGGTGATTTTCGTTGTGTCGGAGAGAAGGGAACACCGGCTTCTAAGAGTGCAGCTACACGAGGGGTTGTTGAAGTTTGGTCATGAGCCAAAGCACTGCTTGTCGATTTCACTATGTCGATAGAGGATGAAGAGTTCGCCGAGTGCGCAAGGTTAAAATGTGGAAGTGAGGCACCATGGATCGAAAATGCTTTGGTGTCCGCCGGGGGAACTGCGTCGCAAGACACAACAGGGGGACTGCGTTTGATGCGACAACCAGGCAAGTTGGGCATATACGAAGACCACAGACCTAATTTTCTAAATGGGTGCGGTGGACTCATTCCAGAAGTAGGCGATTGGTGCACTGAACATTGGAGATTAGAGATGGGAAGTGTAGACACAGGAACGTGAACGGATGAAGTACGTGCCGGCGAAGAAGAGGGATTGGACAGTTGACGCTCCGTTTCTTCAAATTCAGAATCAGTCATGAAACGAATGCATTTCTTTTTTCGTCTAACAGTGAGAAGAGAGCAAAGTGAAATAGCGATAAAATAGAAGGATACAGTTTTCTTATAAGGGTAGTAAGGCGAAGGAGAATAAAAATTGGCGCAGACAAGTTAGAATAATGCTGACGTTTATCGTGCAAACAAGTTGAGTACAAAACATGTAGAAATGAGCGGAGTAGAACGGAAAGTTTTGGCGCCAAGTGCTTAGACTGCAACAGACAGTAAAAGCAGTAGTAACACAATAGATGATCAGCGTGGAAAATGGAAAGCATAACATGTTGGCTACCGAAAAACAATCGAGAACCTTCGCTACATAAGGGTAGTTTTAGTCGAATCGGAAAGAATGCAAACAATCATGTCAGGATGAAATGGCGGCCCAAGGTAGTATTGATGAAGTTTGTGGTAGATCATTTGAAGGAAACAAAACAATCCCAGGAGGAATCATGAAATTTGTAGAAAATGATGTGGAAAGCAAACCATAACTGGAATATCAAAAGCCACTTTTGAATGATGAGCCGAAGTCAGCATACAGAAAATGTGGCAGAAGAGCTTTAAGGTGATATCATGCTACACAAAGTAGAGTGCAAAATGCACTTTGTATATCTATAAAACCTGAAGCATAGGTAAGCAGCGCGTGGATAAGGCGACAACAAAAGCCACAGTAGTCGAAAGTATAGTTGTGTGGGCGGTACCTGGTACCTTAAGCAGCACGACTTTGATATTGGGTCGCCACTAGAGTTAGAGATATCGAAGCCCATAGTCTTTTCAGAGCACCGCAGTCTCGAAAAATGATTACGGTTATTTGGTTGGAGATGTCAGTCCTATACGGTAAACCACGTGCTCAGTGGAAAATTGCGGGGACCAATGAGTTACATCAGAACGCGTTTAAGCAGGCATGCTGTTCAATGATGTGTCATACAAATTGTAAGTAAGGTGCCCTCTAGAAGATTCCTTCTGATAAAAAACTGTGTACAAGATGAATGATGCGACCTATAAAGAAAATCTTCAACCGGTGCGGCGGTTGGATGCGCACAAAAAATGTCACCTCATCATAATGCCATAGGATACCAGTATTGTCTGACAACCCGTGAATGGGTTAATCTAGCGGGCTGATGAATGAGCAAACACCTTTGTATGGTCCGGAAGTAGGTTCGATCAAGTGCATGGGGCGCTCCGGAGAGCATGACGATCATACGCAAGATAAATGTTTAATGCGAGAGACTGTGCGATGGTCATGCGCTCAAAACAGAACGAGTCGATTCTATTTGACACGGCGGAATGAGTTTCATAATCGTCAAATGAACATGGTCCGTAATGACTGAAGACCGGCTCTATTAAACCTGGTAGCAGCCCACAAAAATAGCCGAACACTGAACATCCTGAAGTTCGAATGCACATCCTCAAATTTAACGGCCATGTTTAAATGACACAGGGGGAATTCCGGTCTTGACTACCTGATTACAAATTCGTGAAATGAGTGATGGACAAATCGCAAGTTGATCTGAAGTGGCGTAATATTGTTGGATGTAATGTTGCACACTGCTGAAAACGTTACACGGTAGATGTGCAAAGCGTACTGGCGTGACGGAGGCAGAGCAAGAATGGCTACCAAATCATTTGAATCAGTCGACACACTGACAATCCAAAGTATCGAACGCATAACACTTAGAAGGAATTTCTGTTTTTTTCCCCTCGCTACTCTGTTGCGTGCTACCCCCTCAGATGATCCGTGCCTCAGCCATACACAACCGGTTTTGAGCGAAGGCTCATCTCATCCACGGACGATGCGCACACGTGTAACTCGCACAGACGATGGTTGATCGTCTGTCAGCACGAGACCGGAAGCTAGGCACGTGCACGTCGCATGATTACAAAATGTGTGTGTGAAAGCTGGCTCTATCCGAATGATGCGAATTCGAGCTGATTCATATAGATGGCTGTGAAGGTGATAGGGGCTATGTGTAAAAGGGTCTTAAGTGGTGACAACGGTCAGAAGCAAACATAACGAGATAAAACAAAACTTCAGGGTATTTGAAGGCTAGTTTGCAGATGGTGCGTCGACAATAAGTTTGAGCAGTGATGAGTATTGCAACTTATGGACAAAGCTGGGGGGATTGACACACATCAGTTGAAAGAGGAGACAGCTAGATGGATCGATGGGTTGATGTTGCAAATGTTCACAGATCCCAGAAGTGCTACTCAAAAGGCTAGATGCATGCAGGTCTGGAGGTGGACACAAAACTGACTGACACCGCCTGGATACAAAGGAGTTAAGGACAGCATACAATGTCTATCAAACACTGCGTCGGGGTGCAAATAAAACTTATAAGTTATCGTCATACGCAGAAGGATCGAAGAACGAACATCGCATCAACCAGATTTCGTCGGCTTGGGTAAAACGTTTACGCAGACCCTCGATATTTGGCTGTACAAGCTCACTGTTTTCGTCTGCGTTATCAATTTGGAGCTTTTGACTCGATAGCGGTGCTCTCCAATCGTGAGACAATGAATGACAATCGCAACCTAGGCCAATGGAGCTGTGAGGTTATAACCCGAAAACCGGTGTCTCCCATCGAGAGGCGTTGAAGAGAGGGGGTCTAGAACTCACTGTGACCTAAAGGGATGTTGTGACTGTTGGTATGAGTTCCAAGCTGTTTGTATGAGTAAGTCTCTAGGCCCATGGATAGTGCCATTCGGCATAGCCCAATAGGGAATGGGGGTAGGTAAATTGGCATATAATATTAAGATCCAGTTTTGTCGCGATGGATTTGTACAAAGAAACCGACTTCAGCAAACAACATCTTTTCGCTGTTAGCCCAGCTAAGAAAGCTCCACGGCATCAAATATATGCCGTTGGATCGGTCAATATAATGGGATACATCGCATGATAAGTCACAGACCGCGCTGAGTAAATAGATGCAGGCAGGCAAAGAATGATGGCCCAACTGAGTATGTCACTCGTGTGGTGATTGTAACGAAAAACGCCGATGGTGTCCACAGCAGTTGGACGAAGTCCTTTGCATAAGTAACTACAAGAGACGATTTCATGGAGACAGTTTCGAATACTTCCTATTTGTGTTCAAACCTTAGTAGTAAAGTATGAAGCGCGTCTCTTCGCAGTCAAAGTAACACTCCTTGGACGATTAAGCTAGCCAAACTCTATGTTGACTGATGAGAGCCAGTAAGAATTTTCAGAAACGCGCCACTGGTGTTGGCTTCGAGCCATCTTTTAAAGCCTCGAGCCAAGCACAAGGCGAGACGGACCGACAGCAACCAGTTTGGTGGTCCTGAAGCAACACTGCACTGTGAAGGTGAGAAGTGTATACCAAATAATGGGACCGCTTTAGAGAGGCCATTTACGGTTAATTGCGCTGCCCCAAAATCTTTAAACAGTAAGAATATACCGTCCGCATAATCAAGATCAACTAACCTTCCGACAGACAGCACCACAACATCTGCATCCTGCGTGATGGAATCCACGAGGAAACTGAACAAAATATAGGGAAACTGGATAGCCTGGACAAACGCTATTGTTGTCAGAAAAATATCCGACAGGTCGCCGTAGGCCTGACGCGACCTGTCGTGTTCGAGTGTAGAACACGCAAAATGTTCACACATTTCATGGGAACACATTTCCGAACAGCATGCATTGATCGGTTGAGTCAAACGCTCTAATGAAATCGAGAGACGCAGTTGTTGCCGGTCTGCGGTATGCATGGTGCTGCTCTAGCACCTGCCGCAGAGTGAATATATGGTCCATACAGCCGCGTCTTGGGTGGAAGCCTGCAGGCTATTCTCTACTTCGGAATTCCCGTTCCGCAATAACGCGATGAACGAGATTGGAGGCCAGTAATTTCGTCACCACTGGCGTTAGACTAATACCCTTGTGGTCAGCATGGTTGTTGCACTTGCCATTCTTGTGTATGGCCATTGTAATCCATTCATTTTAGTTAGTGGGACGCGGTCTTCCCCTTTTATACATATTCGAACAGGGAGGTCAATGCTTTGCAGAGGACCTCGTCATCATCATGATCCTTAAATAGTGCGGGTGCGGAGGAATCCGGGCCAGCAGCACAAAAACGATTGACGGCTGTGATAGCGTTACAAACCTCACCTCCCGATGAAGCCTCTAAACTAACCGTCCATGGCTCTTCCTGTATCACCTGAGTAGGAAGAGGTCTGGAAGCAGGGGACCAACTAAACTGATCTCGTAAGTGCTCCACCCAAGCCATACAGTGCTCCTTATTGTGAATCAGTGCGCCGGCGCTGCCTCTTGTCGTATCGATGACGCCTGGTCTCCTGGGGCCAGTATTGCAGATCAGCCGGAAGAGTTTGCAATAATTGTCAACTGTTCCTGCTTCCTCAATTCTGTGAGCTCGACTGGTCCACCAGGCTCCTTTGTCAGCACGCAAACGCCGCTTTAGTTCACGTCTAATAGTCCGCCTGGTCACATTGTGCTCATGGCCAGCTGGAAGGTTTCGCATAGATTTCATGAGATTCATGGATCTCTAATATGCAGTGACTGATGCGGTGACGACTGGTAGTATCACAATCAGATGCTCCTGCGTCGTGCATGGCGGTAGAGATCCTATTCCATTGAAGCTCAGTGTCATTAAGACAAGAGCGAAAGTTCGGTGTACACAGCATCCTGGTATGTACCTCTGACCGAAGGCTGTGATAATTTCTGTCGCCAATAGGACGAAACGCCTGGTGCGCCTCTCCGGAAAGCGCATGGAAAAAGAATAGCAGACAAAGGCACGATCAGAGTCGACGCAAGTACTCCGGAACGAGCAACATTCCAGGATGGAACCATATATATATATATATATATATATATATATATATATATATATATATATATATATATATATATATATATATATATATAAGACTTGATCAATAAACATTCGGCAGAGTGGCACAACTCATGAGTAACAATAGCAAAAAGAAGGAGAGTCAGAGGAAGGAATGCAAAATCCCATAGGCTGTGTGGGCAGAGAGCTTCCC